ATTGTAGAACTACCATAAAAGCTACAAAGATAGAAATGTGTTTACAGAGGATATGGAGCAAGTGGAACTCTCATAAAGCAATGGTGGGAATGTAAAGTTATACAACTACTACTTTGCTTGGTCACATCTACTGAAGCCTAACATATGCATGCTTTGTGACCCAGCAATTCCATTCCTAGTATATAATATATACTCAATAGAAATGTACACATAAATGCACCCAAAGATGTGTATTAAGAATTTTCATAGCTGTATAATTTATAATACTCCAAAATTAGAAACAAACCAAATGCCCATCAACCACAAAATGGATAAATAACTAGTAACATATTTATATAATGGAATACTATATGATAAAAATAAGTAAACTGCTAAACTATATGCAAGAACATGTGGAAAAAATCTCATCTTAATGTTAAGTGAAAGAATCCAGGCACATAGTATATAGCTTCGTTTATAAAAAGTTTTAAAACAGCTGAAACTAATGTAGACGTTAAAAGCTAGGATATCTGGAAAGGAAGAAGAGGGTAGCAGAGAAGGGAATAGAGATCTGAAGTGCTGGTATTAATGATATTTTATATCTTGATTTGGGAGTGGTAACATCAATATATTCACTTTAGGCAAATTCATCAAGCTGTTCACTTAGAATTTTTGTATGTTTTTGTATATTTTATTTCAATAACAGTAAGTTGTGCACATACACGGTACTATAATGATACATAACTTACATTTAAAAACAAAACTTAAATGACAAAAAGGTACACATGAACTATATAGCTAAAAGGTGAATAATAGCTTTCCAGACAAATAAAGAATATTTCAAGCAAGGAGGAAAATATAAGCAAATACGTTCTTTGTGCTTCTAATGTGCTTTTATTACATATTAGCTCTTGTGTGATCATCTATATATAAATATGTCTTTATATGTTCTTTGCCAACATCTTGAGGACAGGAATCTTACATGTAAGTCCATGTTCTTCAGCCTGCTGACTGGAAATACTTGGCTTTTTTTTTTTTTTTTTTTTTTGTATAGATGCCAAGTTCTAAATCTAGGCCAATTTTATGACCATTTATCAATCTTCCCCTCAAACAGGAATCCCCATATGCATCAAAAGCAAAAAGATGAGAAAGTGTAACATATTTATGGGAAATCTTTGAACCAGAAAGAGAAATAAGAAACGTGATTTAAACTTCATAATCTTTACACTGCCTTAATGTTATTCCTGTTGGTCTCTACTGAACATCAACAAAAAAGAATTTGTTCTTGTCTTTTCAGATTTCTCATACATACTCTGAATCACTTTAAGGCATAAGATTCCTTGAATTAACTTTTTTCTCCTATTGATTGTCTGTAATTCTTGGCTATTACAAATATACAAATAGCAAAGGAATGAACTTCAAAAGAGTGGGTCTTTTAAATCTAGTCCCCAAAATCGCATTTTATTGGTAAACCCAAGAAGATAAAATGACTTTCTCAAGGTCCTGCAAGTAATTAGTGGAGAATTA